GGGAGGATGGGTTAGCCTGGTGGTGGGTATTGAGGAGGGCACGTTCTGCATGGAGCAGTGGGTGTTATGCACAAACAATGAATCATGGAACACTGCATCTAAAACTAATGATGTAATGTATGGGGATTAACATAAGAATAAAAAAAAAATACTGGGTCTGTGTGCATTCATGCACGGACACATAACCCATGTCATCTATGAGCCTTGCCAATGGCCCCAACTCAGAACTGGGTTTAGGTAGGTTTCTAAAAATGAGGTTTGGCCACCAGGCTGGGAGTGGAAAGTGGGCATTTGTATGTTATCCCCCATGTTTTGGGGAAGACAGCTAGGACATGTCTGACTTTTGAGAGGCTCCAAAGCCATCTTGCTGGCAGTGCCCTCTGCAGCTGACATCCAGGACCTTGGGCCAGGCCCGGGGGGTTGGGCCCAGGGTGTGAGCTAGTGCTGTGGGGCAGCTGGGGATCCCAGTCCTGCCTTTGTCTGGGCTCTAGGTTTGAGCTGTTGAGTGAAGGTTCTCTGCATGCTCTGGAAATGGACTCCCTGTATCTGACTAAGTACCTCCCGCTTGAATGCTTCTCCCACAGAGCAGCACCAGTTCTGATGTGGGGAGAGATGGCATGGACACTGTTCCCATCTAGGCTACAAGCTGCTGTCTAGTTTGTGTGGGTGAGCAGGTGGGAGGGCATGAGTGCAGATTGGATGTTTGGGTTGTATCTGATGACTCTTTCCTTCACGTAGGGTCCCAGGTGTCCCATTATAGCTTTCTAAGACCAAAAGGGAGAGGCGGGGAGGCCAAGGGCTGGCCCGGACACGGGTGCTGTATGAGCACATGCTTTGCATTTACCCCGCAGGCCATCTCAATGGTGTATTCTTTCCTTACCCCGTCCCATCTTTCCTGACTCGTGTCCTAATTACCTACAAGTCTAGGAACGACAAACTCTGAGCCAGCCACTTGTCATCTCACCTTTAATGCCTGGTCCACTGCTCTGGGTTCTGTGGTTTTGTCGGCAGGGAGAACTTACATGTGTTTGCTACTGGAGCTCCAAGTAGAAACCCTACATTTTTGCCCTGTGTATTTGCCAGGCCTGGCCTGAGGCCAGTGGGACCAGGCCCTTTGGGTGTACTGACTGTGGGGCCGTAGAAGAGAAAAGGCCACAGTGCCATCCAGATGGAGCTTTCACCCATGACCAAGATGTCTCTGTTATGAGCCTCCCCTCCCGAGGGTTCTGGGCCACTGACACGGTGCAGTTGACCTTGGCGTTCCCCGGAGCCAGGCACCTAGGCAGCCGGGACCTGTGTACCGGCCGAGGCTGTGCACTCCTGTGGCTGTGCACACACTGCTCTCTCCCCCCAGGAACCAGGGCCGGCCAAGATGGCTGTCACCAGCAGCAGCAGCATTCCCAGTGCTGAGAAGGTCCCCACCACCAAGTCTACACTCTGGCAGGAAGAAATGAGGGCCAAGGACCAGCCTGATGGGAGCAGCCTCAGTCCAGCTCAGAGTCCCAGCCAGAGCCAGCCTCCTGCTGCCAGCACCCTGAGGGAACCCGGGCTGGAGAGCAAAGATGGTAAGTGCGAGCCGGACTGGCCGGCATGCCCCCCTTTCTGGTGGCCAGCCTCACAGTGCTGGAGCAGGCCTCCATCCCAACGCAGCTGGCCCTGAGAACTAAGGGACGCTGAGCCCCAGGCCTCAGGCTCCTGTGTCCATCAGCCCTTGGCAGGGCCTGGCCTAGGTGGGGCTGGGATTCCTGGCCTCTGGCCTTGGCCTTGCCCCTCTGGCTCTTAAGTCCCATCTGTAAAGGAGGAAGAGAGCACCTGCTCTGTCAACCCTGGTGGGTGTTGTGAGACTCAAAATGCCCTGGAATGAGGTCTGTGTACCAGGAGGCCTTTGGTTCCTGCCACCGTGGCTGCACTGTGTTCATGGCCTGGCTAACCCTGGAAGCCTAGTGTGTCCTGAGAGCAGCAGTGGTTAGGGCAGCCTCGTCCTTCTCCTCGCTGTGCCATCCTGCCCAGCCCCGGGGGGGCTCGGGAGGCTTTGCTCTGCTCTCTCCACTTAGCACTTCAGAATTGCCTGAGCAGAAGCAGGGCAGCAGTCTCCGCCTCCCTGCTCGGGGACCCGGAGGGCTCTGCATGACATAAGCTGGCTTTTCTCACTTGCATTTTGTCCAGCTCATTAAAGATGAGGGGACAGTTGGGACTGACCCAGTTCATTCAGGCCAAAATGCATTTTGCAGCAGCTGGGGGTTAAGCTGCCTCAGTCCTTCATGGGTAGTCCCCATGCATTCCTCTCGTTCCCGCAGAAGTCCTCTGCCTCTTCCCTCCCCAAATGCTCTAACAGGCTGAACGGCTAGTTAGCCCTTGATTTCCTCCTTGATGTTTGGTAAGAAGCGGTGGTTGGTGGGACATCTCTCCTGGGCGGGGGATCCTGTTCTTCCAAACTGGCCCCCAGACTGGAAGCTCAGGGACCTCCTGACAGTGTAGCAGGTGCACCAGCTTAGAGAGAGATGGATGAGGTGCGTGTGTGGGAAGGACATTTCATTGCTGTCCCATGATTCTGCCCTTGGGTGAGCCCTGTATGGATGGCTTCAGAGATGGGAGGTAGAGAGATGGCCCCTGTTTGGATCTGTGTGGGCTCTTTTAAAAAGTCCCCAGAAACCAAAGATGGCAACAGGCTAAGTGCGTCTCCTGCCTCTCGCCTCTCTCTTCCAGAGGAGAGCACCATGAGCAGCGACCGCATGGACTGTGGCCGCAAAGTCCGGGTAGAGAGCGGCTACTTCTCCCTGGAGAAGACCAAGCAGGACTTGAAGGCCGAGGAGCAGCAGCTGCCCCCGCCGCTCTCCCCTCCCAGCCCCAGCACCCCCAGCAACAGGTATAGTGGCCCCGGACCGCCCTCCCAGGAGCTTGGTCATCCCCTTCCTTCCCCAGGTTCTCGAACCCCCAGCCGAATGGTCTGCAGCAGCTCCCTTGGCTCCCTGGATGTGGCCAGCCGGCCCCCCGCCCGCATGGACTCCGGCAGCGCTGGGGGGCGGGGAGCAGAGACACCCGGGCGCACCTTTGCCTTTAAAGCCAGCAGGCAGTATGCCGCCCTGGCCGACGTCCCTAAGGCCGTCAGGATCAGCCACCGAGAAGCCTTCCAGGTGGAGAGAAGGCGGCTGGAGCGTAGGACTCGGGCCCGGAGCCCTGGCAGGGAAGAGGTGGCCCGTCTGTTTGGCAGCGAGAGGAGGTAAGGAGGGGGTTATAGGGCCACACGTACCACGGACATACTCCGCCGCTTTACGCAGTCTCTCGTGTACACTCCTATTCTCCCTTACACATACACACTCACACTGTCTGTGTTCTTGTACGTGCTTTTTGCACTCTTCCCAGAAACACACACACTTTGACATACACATTTCCGCATTCCCTAAGCCTTCCTCGGGGGAGTGCACTTGTCCTCCCTTTCTGTTCAGAGCACGTGTGGAAGGTTTCCCTTTTGACCCTGGACTCTGGTCACGCAACTCGCAGCCCCTGGTAGCCAGAAGCGTAGCATCTCGGGACTCTTAGACACCTAGGCCAGAGGCCAGCTGCTTCCTGTGAGTGACTCCTGGCACTGAGACCTTAAGGGCCCCTGGGCATGTTCTCAGCCACCTGGGCCTTGTGTAGCTGGATCTTTTCCTTCCTGGCCCATCTCTGTCCTCTGAGATGACCGTGGGGGCAGGAAGAGCCTGGAGAAGCGGATGGTGGCAGAAGCTCCCCTTGCCCTTCCAGTCTTAGGCATGGGTGAAGGGCATGGAAGGCGGTGGGGTGGGCAGCACAGGGAAGCCGGGCAGCCTCTGACACTCCCGGGCGCCCTGAAGCATCACTGCATCCAGGCTTGGCTGGAATGTGAGATGGGGAGGCTGACAGAACCACAGCTTCCTGGAGAGACACAGGGTTCAGAGAGGGAACCTAGGACAGGGACTGGGACAGAGGCGTGGATCTCATCTGTGGTCTGAAGAGAGGAGGGCTCTGTCCTCCCTTCTGGTTCCACTGGCCCTGTGCTTCCCAGAGAGCCGGGGAGAGAGCTGGGTTCCATCTCTGAGGCCCTGGCCTGGACCAGAGCGCTCGAGTGCCCCCTTCTTTTAGGAGCTTCCGTCGGAGTCTGTAAATGGAGCCTTTGCCCTGACAACAGGGTTCTCACCCAGGTTCAGGGGTGAACTGCCTAAGGTCCATGAACCCCTCTAAATGATTTGAGAGTCCATGTGTACGTTTTTCTGAGAAAAGAAAAACCATAATTTTCATTAGATTCCCAAAGAAACTCACTTTTTGGAAAAAAAGATTCAGACCTAAATTCCAAAAGCATTCCCAGAGTGTCCTCTCCACCCTCCTGAAGCCTAAGTAAAGCTCAGAGTTGGGGCATGCTGTGGGGACGGGGCAGGGGGGCGACGGGCTTCCCCTGTCAAGGGGCCACCTGCGAGCAGGATGCCTTTCCCAATACACACCTACTCTCCTAAAGCCCCAGGTGGAAAGGACCTGTGCACTTGGGCGTCCACCTCCAGAATAAGGAGGAGCTGCCCAGAGTTGTTGGTCTTAAGAAGAGAAAGAAACAGATGTGCCTGATTCCTAGGCAGAGGGAGAGGGAAGCTGACCTAGTGCCTGGGAGGTGACCTCCAAGCACTTGGCTGTCTTCTTGTTTGGTCAATAACCCCGAGAGCTCCTGTGTCCAATCCCAGTGTGTGGTTGTGGAGATGAGGCCTCAGAAGCGGGGAGACTCCTCGAGGCAACAGCCGGGTGCAGCAGAGCCAGGACGCACCTCCCCGCTGGGCCTTTTACTGGGAAGACCCCGCTCCCATGATGTGACCCAGGAGGGGGCTGAGGCTGTCCTTTAAGCAACTAAGTGGAGGGGCTTGCCAGAGACTTAGAAGGCCTGTGGGCCAGGGCGGGGGAGGCTTCACACTGGCTGGCGGGCAGGCGATGGGTCCTGGAGGCTCCTGGGTGGGCAGCTAGGCCCTGGTGTAGCGGCAGACCAAAGAATTAACATTCAGCACACCTGCTTGGCTTCAGACTTGTTCTTGTCTAGTCGCCTGGGGTAGATGGCATCTCCAGGGCTTTACTTTCTGCATGTTCCTCGCCACCACAGAGATGGGTTTTCACCGGGTCCTGGCACCCCACCAGCTCTGCATCCTAACATTGTAATGTCACTTTCTTACCCTAATGACATCTGACTGGCTGCTGTCACTTTGCAAGGCCTGCGCCCTGCTCCCAAGTAGCCTTCCCTGTGCGTGATTGGAGTCCCAGATCCTGGTTGAATAGAGCAGAGCCCCGTATTGGCAGGACGTCTGCCGCGGCTATCCGGAGTGGCAGCCGAGCCAGGCCTGCCCAGGAGCCAGGCTTGGGGGACAGGGGGGGCCGGTCTCCTGACAAGGAAGCCTTTATGGGCCAATCTGCTCTGCTCTTGACGTTTGCTCCAGAGCTTTTAGAATGTTTCTTGGGTGCTGAGTCACTGCTGAAGCAGCCTGCGGAGGCCATGGCCCTTGTCGAGTTCCTGGTGACTGACACCACGACCGGCTCCTGTGCGGTCCTCACAGCCCCTCAGCTGGGAACCTGGGGAGGTGAGGCAGGGCAGCGGGGCCAGTGCCCCCTTTCTGTGCTGTCCGCCAGCCCAGGGAGCCATTTGCGGCCGCACATGCAGTACCTCAAGGGAGCCAGTATACAGACTGCTCACTCACTTTGCAAACTAAGTGGGCTGACGGGCCCAATTTGCTTTCCTCATTGGACTCCTCTCTTGGCAGCCCTGGCAGGTCTGCAGCATGCGAGTTGCACAGGACTCGGTGGAGCACTTGTTCCACATGGCCTTCCCGCGGCTTTCTAGGCCCCACGGTCAGTTGGAGGGGCTCTCATTCTGCAAATGACGGTGCCTAGGTCTGTACGTGGGCCTGGAACCTTCCCCAAACCCTCTAGGATGGTGGGGCACACGGCGTCATCTTCCCGAGCAGGCTGAGCGCTGACAGGAGCTTCCTGTGGTTCTCTGAGCTTCCCGCGCTCACCACGCACACCCTCTGCTGCGGCTGCGCTCCCTCAGCCTAACTGCAGGTCGGCCTGGGAACAAGCTCTGTTCCTGGAGAAGATTCTGCAGAAGCTTAGGGCTCCAGAGCTCCTGCTTTGTGTGTAAGCACAGAGATGAGCAGGGGGCCCAGCAGCCCCGAGACTTCTACCCTTGGTCTTTGGCCTTCTTTGATGAAGAAACCCTAAGATCCGTTTTTACTAGTAACCTTTCCTGAATAAAAGCTAGTCTCTTGGCAGGGTCTCAGGATTTGAGCCCATTTCCTCTTTTTCCTTATAGAGTTAGATATTAGTCTTCAGTTAGATTTTAATCTTGGGCTCAGGGGCCCTTCACTTGCTTCCCGTTGATTCTGAATGCAAGCAAAACCCTTCCTGTGAGGTGACCTTGGGGAGCTTGCCTGGGTGTCCCTGGGAGGACAGGCCTCTGGTGTGGTGACATGTTAATGTTGTAAAAAAAAAAAACAAAAACAAAATTCAACTGAGTAAATTCTGAACATCTTATTGGCTTTATTCAACAATTCATGAATCAGGCAGCATCCCATCTATCAAACAGAAAGGAGCTCTGAAGATCTGTACAAAATAAAGGACTTTTTATAGGCAGGAGAGGGCAGAACAAGGAAGTTTAACAGTAGCAAAGAGAGCATTGTTTCGGTCAAGGTCACCTTCCTTTGAGGGACAGCAGAGGTCTGTCAGGTAGATTACCCCACTGGTGCTGACTAGGTAATTCCGAATTGACTAGTTTAAGATTCCACTCCTGGGAGAGGTTGAAACTGTAAGTAAGTTAGGTATTAACCACCATTTGGTGACTTGGGCTTAGCACAGTTGACTCTGTTCTGAGCCTGTTGTGTTTTTTTTTTTTTTTTAAGCAATTCCCTCCAAACCGCCCCCCCACTTTCTTTAAAGTTTATTTATTTAACTATTTATTTAAGTAATCTCTACCCCGAGAGATTAATGAGGGTCTCAAACTCATGACCCCGAGATCAGGAGTGGTACGTACCTCTGACTGAGCCAGGCATGCACCCCACCCTTTTGTTCAGACTATCAGCTTAACTGAGTGGTGTGATCAAAATTTAAGACCTTAGCACCACTCCCAGCTACTGCTCAAAATCTTGCAGTTTTTTGCTCTGTGGTATTCACAGGTCATGACGTTTTTTTGCTGATTCTCTGTGGTACTCACAGGTCACGACTTCAGGCTCACATTTAAGTCAGTTACTCTCTTCATCCCTTTCTGATGTCCCAGTCTTACGGAGATCGTTTGCTTTGTGGTTAGCAGCTGCAGACACGCGTTTAAGAGAATATAGTGCATGAGGGAGACTACTGTGGTTATTTTAAGCAGGATAATTCCCAATGTCTGGAGTGAGTTTTGGATCCATGGTCCGCAAGACCCAAACCAATCAAAATCAAATAACTCAGAGAAAGACCTCCACTGAAGGAGTCACTTTTTTTTTTTTTTTTTTTAAGTGAAGTGGCTTTTTCAGTGATTTTTACGTAGCTGAGTTTCAACTTTCCCAGAAGTGTTAATCTAGGTGTGGTAAGTGGCACTGACCACAGCACAGACATTTCCTTGTTTAGCTGCAGGATAATCAGGGGATAGCCTATTTGAAGAACAACTTTGGCTTGGCAGAGATGGGGACTGCTGGTGAGATCTTTTTATATTTGGGGCAGATCTGATTTAGGTAATCACAAGAACAATGGGAATACAAATGTACTACGATCTGCTTAGGAATTTGTATCCAATTGGGCAAGTACAGTTATAATCGTAGAAAGGTGAAAACAAGGCACTGGATGTTCTGGCTGTAAAAGTCAGATTGTGTAAGTGACTCCTAAGGTCAGGGGGTCCATTGCGAATAGAAGAGAAATTGGTCACAGGGAGGACCAGGGGATCTCTAGTATCATGGACAGGTAAAGAGCTCTTTTTATGATAAATCCAGCAATCTGAAAGATTTTCCAACCCCCTGTCCTCCCTTAGTAATGGCCTGAGAGATAGGGATGTCGGCTTTCTTTCCAGACCAGTGCCAGAGTAAAGGAAAGAGAAGATGAAAGAATTTCATTTCATGTTTAAAGAATGAAGTCTTGATCCAGCATCTTGGGTGGAAGCTGTCCACTTTGATGTCAGCTCCTTCCTAATCAATTTGATTTTGAGGTCTCCAGCTGCTATGTAATTCCTAGAGTCGAAGGGGCCCTTTTCATTTGGGAGATGCAGACCCAAGGTTCAAATCCCTGAAGTTTGGTTCCCATCTGGGGGGTGAGGAGGACCTGGAATAGCCCTTCAGGGCAGTCTTTATTCTTAGTCATTCCAAATCAGAAGGATGGCAGAAAATAGGAAATATTATGTTTGGAGAGTCATAGCCAGATATTTTTTTTTTTTTTAAGATTTTATTTATTTGACAGAGAGAGAGAGAGAGAGCATAAGCAGGGGGAGCAGCAGAGGGAGAAGGAGAAGCAGGCCCTGCACCGAGCAAGGAGCCCAATGCGGGACTCAATCCCAGGACCCTGAGATCATGAACTATCCGAAGGCAGACGCTTAACCAACTGAGCCACCCAGGCATCCCAGTCAGAGCCAGATATTTGCAAAAACTAGAATTCAGGAGCCAGTCCAGGTTATTGATATACAGGTATGGAGCAAAACCTCAAAGATACTTACAGCCTAGAATCTAATATCTACAGAGATGCAAACACAGTTTTTCTCTCTGCAGTTATTCCCATTTTTTTAAAGATAGTCGCAGTAAAATTACTTTTGTTTGCATTAAACTTAGCCTGATTTTATAAGTGCAGCAGAATAGTGATTGACCATATAAGCCCTTTTTAAGACTGCTTTGCTGGAACTTTGCATAAGGAATCTCAGACTGAATTCTTCTCTGAGGCCAGCAAGCCAAACCAAGGACTCACCATTAGATTTTACCTGCAGTGCCATGCACAAACAATGAATCATGGAACACTACATCTAAAACTAATGATGTAATGTATAGGGATTAACATAAAAATAAAAAAATTTTTTAAAAATAAAAAAATAGATTTTACCTGCAGTGCCTATAGTTTGGGTGAATTTCTCTCTTCTCAGAGTTTCCCCCCAAACATTCTGAGGTTCATAGGCCTGCCAGGAAGTTAACTTTCCGTACTCACCTGGAAGGCTGCCAGGAACCCTATAAGCAAGGTACCAGCCCGATTTTTCTAAGCAGTTCCTTAAAGCTATTTGGTCATATTTGAGTCTATGCATATCTCTAAAATAAGACATTCCAGTCAAAGCCTTGGTAATATAGCCAGTGTTTCCAATTGTTCCCTGTTACAAGGGGAACAGGTTGTTATTGAACTTATACAAATAACCAAGTATATTGCCATGAAAAGAATACTCAAGAGTTTACAAATTCTGGAGGGATCAGGTAAGGAGAAAAAGTAAATGTTTCATCTTTGTTTACAAAGGTATGCCCTACCAAATTGCTATAGGTCATAGATCACTTAAGTGAAAATGTTTCTCTAAATCTACAGAACAAAACACTAAGGAACTAGCAGTGTTTTACACAAAAGGTTATGTAAAATTATAATTATCCTCAGTTCATTCAGTCCTCTGTAAATAATACCTGTTCTGCTTGAATCCAATGTTTTCATTAGTCTAGAAATTCTTCCCCAGTTCAGTTTTATGGTCTTGAAGCCACCTGGGTGACTCAGTCGGTTAAGCATCCAACTCTTGATTTCAGCTCAGGTCATGGTCTCAGGGTGGTGAGATCAAGCCCCGTATCGGGCTCCATGCTGGGCCTGGAGCCTGCTTAAGATTCTCTCTCTCCCTCTGCCTCTCCCCTCTTCTCTCTCTCCCTCTCTAAAAAAAAAGAAAGAAAAAGAAAGGAGGGAAGAAATCTTTACTTGTCAAAGTCCTTTCCACAAACACTTCTGTAAAAGCATGAGAGTAAAACAAGAACTCTCTGTGACAAAAGACTTAAAAATGCCCATAGTTAAAGATCAGATGAGAGTACACTGTAATGGAAATAACAAGAAATTTGGTTATTTTTGTGATATTCAGCATTTAAGGTAACAGCTGTAATTATGACTGATAATATTTGCATCAGGACATATCAGAACCTGAAAAGGTTTAGTATCACTTATTTGATAATGCTGCCCATGTAATGTAACATAACAAATAAGCCTAATTAGTGAACAGCTCTTTTTCTACAAGAAGAGAGAACAAATCTTTTAGGATTTTCAGGGATCCTCTGAAAAATCCCAAAGTTACTTCTAGGTCAAGAAGACTTCATTTAGAATTACATTTTGGGGAAGCTTGTCAAAATATCAGAAGGTTTTAAGACACTTGGTCCCATAGGATCTTAGATCACTGTGAAACAATACTCAGTTATCATTTGGCCAACATGACAATTACAGACTTTATAGGCATATACGGAAAGTTACATAACTGTAAAAAACAACAACAACAACAAAACCTTTAATAAAGGAGACTCGGTTTTCTTCAGTAATCAAAGACCTGATAAAGACAACGTGAAACACAGGAAATTATTTTGATAAGACACAACATCTTTTTTTCTCAGCAGATTACTTGTAAAGAAAAAATGTTCAGTCTCTTATCAATAGCAGACCAAGAAAATTTTGTCCTTTAAACAGAGAAAACCAAATAATAATACTGTACCACCTTACTTTTGATATTAAAGTTCATCTTTTTTTTTTTTTTTTTACACTCAAGTTCATTTTAATATTAGTCAGCCCAAGGGGCGCCTGGGTGGCTCAGTTGTTAAGTGTCTGCCTTTGGCTCAGGTCATGATCCCAGGGTCCTAGGATCGAGCCCCGCATTGGGCTCCCTGCTCAGCGGGAAGCCTGCTTCTCCCTCTCCCTCTGCTTGCTGCTCCCCCTGCTTGTGCTCTCTCACTGTCTGTGTCAAATAAATAAAATCTTTAAAAAAAAAAATAATACATCAGTCAGCCCAAGATTCCTTTTTCACAAACCTTCTCCAATTTTCTTTTTTACATTCTGATTTTGTCCTGATTTTTTTCTCTTCTCCATTCTGCAATAACCAGTCTCATGTTAGGACAAAATTACTTTCTTTTCCCTCAACAAAAATGGATCTCCATTCTTTGTATCTTCTCTTACCAAAAACATACATCCTACATATGTTAGAATTTCTAACCCTTAAAAACCTTAATTTCTCATGAAAATAAAGTAGTAAACACTTAGCATTCTGCAGCTTAGCAAATTTATGAATACATCTTGTATCTTCTGGAAACATGCTTTCTCATAATAGATTTTTCAGTGTAGCACAAAACATGTTTACTAATAGACCGAAGTATCTTTAGTTTCTGTATATAATGGAAAGCAAAAAAGTAAGTGAACCTATATTCAGTAATTAATGTTTCAGTATTTTATTTGGAAATGATCTAGTCAGTCAGTGACTTCATCGTTTAATTTAGTAAAACTCTTAAGATATTTTTATCAAAAAGATTTGGGGAAACCATTTAAGTAGACATGCCAAAAATATAATTATTGCTGAAAAGTTCACCTAAAAATGCGTA